GTCAAAGGATGGCAATTCCCCTAGATCATAAGTTGTCAAAGCTGGAAGAGGGCTCAGGAATTGTGTGGTCCAGCCTCTTGTTTTCCGTATAGGGGAAATTGAGACCCAGGAGACAAAGTGGCTTGCTCAGATCAAAAAGAGAGTTAGTGGAAACTCCATGCAAGTATGTGAAATAGAACATGACAGAAAGCCAGACTTTCAAGTCTGTGTGCCAAATTGAGATGTAAACCTTTCCCTTTGACTATCAATCATTACTTCATTGTCTAGAATTTCCTGTGGATTAAAGACAGTATAACACCTTAGTTAAATGTAACTAATCCCCAGGAAATGATCAGGTCCATGTTTGTTTTAAAAATCATTATTTTTTGTTAATTGGTATTTTGCCCTAGATATTTGGTCATCTGAGAGCAAGGCAAATGCATTTTTATGTAATTTGGCCTTGCTAACAGGGACAATATCTCATCGAGTTCATAATCCTCAGCACAGCATATGGGCACAGGGTAGGCGCTCAAAACATTTTTTTAGTTAATTTATGCATTATGGAAACACAGAGGCCATTATAGTCTGACAGACCTGGATGTGAATCCTAGTTCTGTCACTTACTAGCTTTGTGGCGTTGGGGAGGTTATTTCACTTCTGAGACTGTTTCCTTATCTGTGACATGTGGTGGTGAGTGTCTATGTATATAAAGCCGTCTCCTCCCCCAATAAATAAAACAGTACTTTGCAAGATCTTAAACCCCCAATATAGTGCCTGGCCCACACACTGTTGGGATTCTTTCCTTCTTTCTTTCTTTTGTTTTTTTTTGAGAGGATTCTCTTAGCTGTAATCCATGTTAAATTGCAGAGCTACATTACGAATCAGCTGAGGCACTGGAATCTAAGATTGTGACAGTCTGGGCATTATTCTGAGAAATACCTTAAACTAAAAAAAAATGTGTCCTTGTGATTTTTCAAAGTCTATCATTGATTGATCTCCGTTCACGTCCTACCCCCACTACCTTCTCCCTTTCTCTCCCTTTGCCTCAAAGAAAACTAATGGAGCCATATAGAAAGCTCCAAGATAGAACTGACCTTGTGCACCTTTAATTGAGGACAGAATTTGCTGAAAGTGCTTCCAAAACCCCACCAGTGGTTTACTTTACAATCTGTGTCCTGGCTAGACTGGCTGTTGGCTGTATAATTTGTCTAGTTTTGTCTGGAGTCTTAGACTATTCAGCTGCTTCAGGGCAAAATCTTTTGGGGTGTCATTAAATAGGATTGATAATTGGCTTGTGATGAATATTCATTGTGACTAATGACTTTGGGCATATTTTACACATACTATCTTTCTATTCTCCCACTGAGTGAGATTTTGATAGGATCATTTTCCTCAACTTGCACTTCAGTTAAATATTCACAATACTCCTTTGTTGACTACAATCCAAATTGTATACTTTCATTACTTTTAAATTTGTATTTTGTAAGGAATGAGCATAGGCCTTTAGGATCTTTATTTTTTTAATGGGGTTGGTTTTAGAGTTAGTTTTGAAATAAGCGGCTAATGATAATTTACAGGACATAATATGTTATTTCTGATTAGGCATAGATATATCGTAACATTTTCTTTGTGTGTCAACTTAACCACTATGCCTAAGGAACAATGCACAGTGTGCCATTAGTATTTTGGAAAAGAGCCAAACAATTCTCTTTTTTGTTTTTTGTTTGTTTTCTTAATCAAATGGGTAAATTTTACTTCAGTTGCAGAGATTTTGCTCTTAGAAAACCTTCAGTGAAAATGGTGATCAAGCACCATGAAAGTTTGATTCTTTTTTATTTGCTTGAGGAAGATTGTCACTGAGCTAACATCTGTGCCAGTCTTCCTCTATTTTGTATGTGAGACGCCACCACAGCATGACTGAGGAGTGGTTAGGTCCACACCTGGGATCTGAACCCATGAGCCCAGGCCGCTGAAGCAGAGCGCACAGTACTTTAACCATTTGGCCATAGGGCTGCCCCACAGGAGTTTGATTTTTGTGAGGGATAAGTAATTTTAAAGCCTTGGCATTTAGCTTGGTAGGGTTTTTTGAGGCTAAGGAGACATGAAAAAAGCATTGTCTGAAGATATGATCTCCACCACTTTATTGCTTGAAACAGGGTTTTGGCTCAAACCAATTTAAGCTAAAAAGAGGAAGTAATCAAGTTCTCTCTCAACCAGGAACATTCTATTGAATGACTTTTTCAAAGAGAATTACAAATGAATTTCTGTGATGATACGTTACTTTTGTATGGCCACTGTATAGATTTTAAAGTGCTTCTATTTATTTATTTGATGTGTTGTAGAGTTACAGAGTAGGCATATTATTGAATGGATGGATGAATGAATCCATTGACTTGATTTTCCAAAAGTGGCATATTTATGTGTCTAAGCTTGCCATTATTATTTTGGAATTTGAGCCCTATTCCACACTCTGTGAGACTCATGAAAATGTTAGTCCAGTAGTGTTAAAAGCCAAGCCCTTGACTCTTTATATTGTGATGTTCTAAGTAGAAATTTTTTTTACTTATTCAAGAAACATGGCATTATCTGGCACTTATAGAAAACATGGGCAATTTATAGAGAACATGCCACTGAGAAGATGGGTAGGAAAAGAGAGATGGGGTCCGTCTTTACTTTACAGTGAGAGGACAAACATACAGAAAGCTATAGTCCCATTAGTAGTGGGGGCATATGCCCAGAGGAGCCATGCAGGGTTTTGCAGAGGAAGGTAGTGCTTGTACAAGGACCTGAAGGAGGAGGAGTTTGCTATGGATACAAATCTGGGCCAGTTAAGGGGATGAATGAAAAAGAGAGAAGGGAGGAAAAGGAGTGTATAACTATTCCTAAGTCTGCAAATGGTTTGATCCAAGGGTAAACTTGGAAAAGGCAGTATAGATTGTGGCTGGAGATGCTGCTCTACAGGTAGGCTGAGAGCTAATAGAGACGTGCCTGTTCCAGATGTGTCCCCAAAGCCTCCAAATAGGATGTTACATGACTGCACATGCACTTGAGGAAGGGGATGTTGGCAGCTGGGGAAAGGACAGGCAGAACGAGCTGGGGCCCGAGGCCAGTGTAGCCCTCCAGCATGACTTCAGGGTGGAGTTGGAGTAAAACTCGTTCATTTTCCACTCACTCAGCACCAGCAAAGAATTTTTATCTCTTCTAACCCTGAAGAGATTAGTCATGTATAATATGACAGACAGCCTCTTTGTACGGAAACCTCCTGAAATGGATTGAGAAAAGATGGATTAAACCTACAAGCCTTGGCAGAGTCGCTGGGAACAGCTCTTGAGAGCTTGCTGGATCAGCTCCTGTTCATGGCATGTACCTGATTTAAAGAACAGGGTCTGGAGGGAAAACGAGGGGAAAAAAGTAGTGGCCCTGGATTTAATACACAGCTCTCACAACTGTGAAACATCAGCAGAATATCCAATTTAAAGCTGTTCATGTTACACTAACCTCTGGGATTCTTTTAACTGAGCCTTGGCACGTCACTCTTTCGCCACGTAAATGTCCTTCTGTCAGCAAAGACCAGTTAACAGCTTCCAAAAGAAGCAAAGTCCTCATGGGAATAAGCTTCCCAGAAACCAAAGAAACATTAAAGAAAAAAGACAGAAAGAAACATGTGTTGTTGGCTTTCGTCACTTCAGAGCCATATCTCCAAAGGTGTTGGCTTTCTTCCTTCTTTCACTATATTGAATTTTGTAGCAATTTTATTCCATTATATCTTTGTTTGCTAAATTTTTATTAAATGAATTGTATCAAATACTGGTTGTATGATGTGTCTAGCTCTTAAGAAAACAAAAGAGAATATGAAATAGGGACATGTCAAAAGAATAGGGAGAGGAAGGATTAACCAGTAAACAGTGCTGGGGCAATTGATTAACTATGTGGAAAAAATAAATTCTCACCTCACCCCTTAAACCTAAATTAATTCCAGATGGATTAAAGAGTTTAAGGCTGAGAAAAAATTTGGAAGACTGTCTTAGTATAAGAGCAGTGGAAACCATCATGAAGGAAAATATTTGCCTATGTAATTATTTAAACCTTCTCTTCACCCAAAAATTCAAAGAAAATTAAATAAGAATAAATTATTTTCAAGAACATTAAGATTAGTATCCTTTGCATATCCAGTGTTTGCTTGTAAATTAATTAAAAAATACTGATACTCATTAGAAAAAGTGGACTAAGAATGTGAATAGACAATTTACCTAAGAAATATAGTCAGCAAACATATGACAAGATGTTCAGCCTCAGTCATGATCAGAGAAATAAAAATAAAATGAAAATAGATCCATTTCTTAAAGCTAACTTGCTTAGCATTCTTAGTGCTGGTGAAATACACGGAGGCCAGGCATCCTAGTACATGACTGGCAGCATGTAAAGAGCTTCCATTCTTCATCTATTTATTATATTAATACATTAATTATGTTATTATATTTATTAAGTGCCTTAAAATATGTATAACCTTTGTCTCTGAGTTCTACATCTAGGAAACACATATAAAAATTATTGACCTGATCTGATTATATAATTTAATGGTAGAAGATGGTTAATTATAGTATAGGAAATTTGTTGAGTGTCATTAAAAAATGTTATCTAAGAATATTTAAAGATAGGGGAAAATGCCAGCAAATAATGTTAACTTAAAAAAAGAGCAAGTGAACACTGTATTTACTGTAATCCTAATTTCATTAGAAAAGGAAATATAAGTGCATGTGTATGTAACACCCCAAAATGTTAAATTATCACTTTCTCCATTTTCTAATTTTTCTGTAGTCATTGTGCATTACCTTCATAATCAGGAGAAAAAATTAGATTTTTTTGAAAAGCAAGCTCTTGTTAAATTTGAATTAGGGTGATTGAGATAACTTATAAGTTTGAACATGCTGATAAGTATGTATTTAATTTTCTTGCTAAACTCAAATGGCAATGTCTCCTCGCTTTGTTAGCCCTGAGTCTCTGATTTGCTTCTGTTGCAGTTGACTGCCTGCATCCACGGCTCTGCCGCGATGCTCTACCCCATGTTCTGGCAGCACGTGTACATCCCCGTCCTGCCTCCGCATCTGCTGGACTACTGCTGGTAAGGCCACTGCTCACCCTGTCCTCTGCTTTTCCTTCTCCAGAAACTGACCAGGAATGTTATATCTGTAACTTATAATGCAATTGGTGACTCTAAATTAAAAATACTAACTTCGGTATGATAGGAATTGTAGGCCACCTGATTGCACAGCCCTTTTGTTTCCAAACAACTTTCATGTATGTTGTGGCATTCTTAAGAGTTCAAGTGAATAGATAATATTTTTTCCATTTCTCAGTTTGGGGAAACAAAGCACCAAATAATTGTCTGATTTTTTTTTTCCTAAGACAAATTGGAAACTGGTGACGAGAACAATTGACATCCCCCAGGTCTTCAAGTTTCAGCCGTGCCCTGGCACATTCTGTAAGACTTGCTCTCAGCTGTGGTTTGGGAGCACAAGCCAGACTTCAAAACCTTCTGAAGTCTTTGGATGGGAATTTCACTGTCCAGTGAGGTGTTTTAGTGGAAGGGAGGAAGGAAAGGAGGAAGGTGGGCAGGCAGGCAGGTCGGCTTTAGAGTCAGCTCTACCACCTTGGCCAAGACGCTTGGCTTAAGACTTTTTCTCCTCATCTGCAAAATGAAGTTCTATACATAATTATATAAAGATGAAATGATATAACAGATGAAAGGGACACTATGTAGAAAAGCTGGCTCATGGGAGGAGGTCAGTTAATGTTTCTGCAGAATCATGGTCCTCATCACTATTTGTCTCTAATACATTACCAAAAAAGACTGCCTGTGTGACTGGTTTGGAACCATTTTCCTTATGAATAATTTCTTTCCCTAGTGTAATGTGATTAAAGACATTGTCTCCAGACAGCTGAGGTCAGCAGAAGTCGATAGGGGAGCATTATACATATATAGGAAAAGGTACTGCACTGCCTGCCAGAAATTGGGAGCTTCAGGAGAAAGGGACCCATTTGAGGGGTCACAGCCCTGTTGCTTAAGAACACATGACTCAGGACATTTACCATCATTCAGAGTGATTGAGTCCAGGTCAGTCATAATTTTTGCTGGGATCTCCAGCCCATTTTGTAATCCTCTCACTGAAAAGGTTCCCCCAGGTAGTCAAATTGTCATAGGAGCTTAAAGGGACTCCACAGTACTCCTGATGTGAATGTGTTGGACTCACCCTCATCCCAAGAAGCCATGGGTTCAACAAAGATGTGGCTCAGGGCTGTCAAGTGAAAATCAGCAGCCCTCTCTCGTGCGTAGCACTAAGGGAATTGGCTCATTTTTCTCTTTATTATGTATCTTATCAAGGTGGGTCTTTTTATCCATGCCTTTCTCTCATGAGATTAAGGAGCACTTCCTCTGCTTAGACTTGCTGCTCCTTTTGAGCTTTTCAACCAACTATCTGGGGTTTTTTCCACTGTCACGTATCTCAAAGGAAAGGACCTATTTGCCATCCAGTAGTGTTTGTTCTTGTTTGAATGAAAGATTAGGGGGCTGGGCAGAGGCAGATTCTCACACTCAGAAAGGGAGAGGAAGGCAAGGGGAGCGAGAGAGGGAAAAGAAGAACAAAACACACACCCAAGGAAGGTGGAAGGGAGATAGTGAGGGGGACAGACAAAAGGTATGAATGGGACATATATCCCCTAGGACAGACTCACAGTGATACCCAGTCCCCTTAGCACAGAGAACCTGCTACCAGACCCCACCCTAACGTCCAGCACCCTCCCAGGCACATACCCCCACAGGCGTGCCCAACAGAGAGAGACACATACCCCCTTATACCTCACCCCAGACATGTGCCCTAAGGGAAAGCTGGGAGTTCTCCCTGTCTCCCTGGAAGAGACTCAGCTGTGTCTCTTGATGCTGTTCCAGATAGGAACACCCAGGGCCTTCTGTGTGCAGGGATTGGTGGAGTTGGGAGAGTCATTGTAGTCTCTCTGCCTCTCAGGTAGTACAACTTTAACTTTCCATCATTTGGAAAGTTTTGATTGCTCAATTGTTAGCTACTTTAAAACCAGCTTATATTCCCAAAACCGTGGAGAAGAAGATGCTCTGTCAGTTGCATCGGTGATAATAGCTACCATTGTTGAACATCTCCTGTGCCCCAGTCACTGGACCGTCTCCTTTATATCTGTAATCTCACTTAAGTCTTCCAACAGCCCTGTAAGGCAGGTATTAGCTCCATTTCACAGGTCAGTATACCAAGACCCCAAGAGGTTTAGTAACTTGCCCTGGTATAGCTATTATGTACTGTATAATTACATTTTTATAAAAACAAACTATATGTATGTGTATAACAAAAATTAGATGTGTGTGTATACATAGATACTCACACACATACGTATGTATAGAGGGGCAGAAATCTGGAAGGAAATAAACCAAAATGTTAATAGGGATCTGTAATGGGGAGAAGGGAGAGGGATTCTGCATGATTTTTATTTTATTTTCCATATTTTCAAATGTTTCTACAATGAAAAAGTATAATTTTTATAGTTGAAAAGTTTTGTTTTGGTGGTGGCCTGGTGGTGCAGTGGTTGAGTTCACACAGTCTGCTTCAGCGGCCTGGGGTTTGCCAGTTTGAATCCTGAGTACGGGCCTACACACCACTTGGCAAGCTAAGCTGTGGCAGGTGTCCCACATATAAAGTAGGGGAAGATGGGCGCAGATGTTAGCTCATGGCCAGTCTTCCTCAGCAAAATAGGAGGATTGGCAGCAGATGTTAGCTCAGGACTAATCTTCCTCAAAATAAATAAATAAATAAATAAAAATAAAGGAAAGGTTTGTTTTTAAAAAGTCAGTATGTATTCTAGCCAGTTGTCCTTTCCAGCTGCCATCTCAGGTCTCAGCCCTCTCTTCTTTGCTTAGAGGATTGATTAGCTGTTTCTCTCTTTCCTGTGGAAGCTGATCCGAGATCTTCTTTTCGGCTTCCTCCCTAACTCTAGCCTTCTCTAGAGCCGTGTCACCAGCCTCAGCAAGAGCCGTGGTGCTGGCAGGGCTAACATAGACAGGGAGACTGGGCGAGAAAGCCTGCTGAGCCCTCCTCACCCCGAACCTCCACTCTCAAACTCCAAGTGCAGACGCTGTTTGCAGAGCCTGAGTGGGTTTTGTAAGAGCCTGCATCCTGGACGTGTCTGTCTGCATGACAGCTGTCTCTGTCTTGGTCTCTTGTTTTCATGAAAGAACTTTTTGACATTTGACCAAAGGATGATTGCAGGCTGGTGGGGATTGGTCTCTGTTTATTAACTGCAAAATGTAAGAATGGTGAAATAAAAAGCCCCAAGAGATAAACCAGACCCTCTGTTCAAGGCTTGATGTGATCACCTTCAGCCTGCTACCCCTGCTTTGGTCAGAAACTACAAATGTCATGAAATTTGAGTCAATGCTAATAACTTCATTCTATTGTGCTTGGTGACTTTCACCGCCATTGAGTTTAATCCTTGGTGGTAAGAGCCAGCAGGGATAACTAGCATTTTAAGTAAAGTGCTAGGAGCCTGAAACATGTAAATTTGAAGGAGATTTGTTCCTCTGCAGATGATTTAAATGTTAAGTATGTCCCCATGCAGGGGATACACGAAATGGAATCTGAAAACTATTATCTCCTGTAGAAATGAACTCTCAATTTACTCACTGCACAGGAAGGGCAGATTCTAGTCATTTTCACTGCCAGCAGGTGCCCTTTCTATGCATAATAGACTTCGCAAGTGTAATTAACACGTGAGGACCACTGCTGCCAGTTTTTCTTCAGGTACGTGCTGCTAGGAGTTTTCAGGACAACAGTGTAGGCTGTAAGAGCTTTTTACATTGCACTTGAAGATGAGATGTTCATTGACTTCTAGACAAAGATGTGTTAAATGGGGCTGAGCCTAGACCCTGCTATTGGTATCATAGGTCATGGTCCTGGGGCCCAGAGACCCCAAGAGCTGTAATGCAGCCTTTGGTAGAACAGAGGTCAGTAGAGCAAAGCTCTGGGATGCAGTGAATAAATGAAAAATATGATGCTGAAAACCCCACAATTATGTGGAAGACTCTAATTGCACATTCACAAATACAACAACCAATTATCTGAGTTAACTTTAATTAGAGCTATAATCACAGATTTTAATTATCTGAATAAATCAGTTTAGTACAATGGTCTGCCCTAAATGTTTCCGTAATTGATTTTTTCATGTCCCTGCCCATTTTTGAAGAGGGCGATAGGGAAAGTGCCTGGGCTTTGGATTCAGAACCTGGATTCAAATCTCAGTTTCATCTCTTATTAGCTGTGTAATCATTAAAAATCTATTTTACCTCTCTGATCTGCCATTTCTTTTCTGTAAAATGGGTTTAATTTACCTACTTTGAAGAGTGGCTTCAGGAATTAGAGATATTGGTTGTCAGGTGGCACATAGGGGCCATTTAGTAAGTGGTGGTTCCTCCTAGCATGGTTATTATAAACATGGGACATGGATTTTGTTTTCCAGAAGGTTTAACTCACATCAGACGTTATTCTTGCTTCTGCTGCCTTGTGAGCTCAGGAAAAACTTTATAATTCATCTTCTCTTTTTACCCCTCAGATTGTTTTTATTTTGATTTTTTTTTTATTTAACTTGAGTTATTGTATGGTTGTTTTCATTTGCAGCTGTGGCATAAGAATGAAAAGAAAAGAAACAAAAGCAGATGGCAGAGAAAACGAAAGGAGTAAGACATTTCCAGCCCTTATGAATATTTAAAAACATGTGCTGCTGGTTCCTTTCTACTTCAGATCTGTGCCATTCTCTTGACTTTGAAAGTGAAAATGAGAATGTTCCCTACCTTGACTGATGGCAGCCCCGACCACAGCCAGTGTTGGGAGAGCCTTCCCATTTCTGGGACAAAAGGATTAACTTGCTGTTGAGAATCAGCATTCCATTCCATAATAATAATCACCATCTATTGAGTACAGTGTATGTGTCAAGCTCTTTATAGACATTATTACAAATCTTCAAAATCAATTTGTATGGTAAATATTATTGGCTCCATTGTATAGATTAAGAAATTGAAGCTCTGAGAGGTTTAGTGACTTACCTACTATCACACAGCTAAGAAATGGTAGAACCTGCACTTGAAATCCAAGGCCATTGATGTGAAAGCTTTCCTTACTAATATCCTCCAGAGTGTTAGAGAATAAGTTGTACCCATCACCAAGATTTTGTGAAAAAATTCCTCATGGTCACTTCTTGATGACTTGCTAATTGTAGACTTATGTTATCCTTTATTAATTATTTATTTAATGGGCAAATATTTATAGAGCACTTACTATGTACCAAGCACTATGCTAATAAATGTTGCTAATAAGTCCCAGTAGAGGCCATATGGTATTTCCCATGTAAGTTCCTTTTTCTCCATTACTCCTTCAGAACTAGTCCTAAATAAGGACCACAAATCAATTCCCAAATTGAATTGTGTATTTGGGTTATTCTGGACACTTGTTAACTTACCTTTGTGATAAAATATTTCCAAAACAGATCAGGACAAGTTACTGCTTTCCCCCAAAGGACAGTCAGGTCAAGAGCCAAGGTAGTAGCTAACTCCTGATGCTCTCTGAGGGCATGGTTTAACCAATTTGTGCGATCAAGGTTTGGATTTTGTATTTGAATTTGTAAAATGCATTGTATTTCCTGACATTTTCAGGTGATTCTGGAAGCCTTTGTTCCACTCAGAGTAGTCATGCTCAGATTCTCTATGAGACATGCTAGTTCTAGGCTCTTTATCTGTGCTGCATGTAGAGTTCCGAATTAACCCCTATATGCTGCGTCATGTATTCCCTTTAGGATTTTTAACAAACAGTCTGAAATATGCCTGATCACAGGGTACATAGTCCATGTGGGTGAGGGGGCATCAGTTTGGACACTGTGAAGTGGCATCTAGATGATCAGAGCTGGGTCCATTCTAATCTTTGTCTTCATTGATGCCATGAAATTTTGCATAGGGAATAAATTGATGCTAAAGGAAGTGGAATTGTTGATATTCTTGGTGGCAGAGAGAGAAATCAATGAAGTGTGGTGTGACGGAAACAGAAAAACCTGGCTGTGATTCTAGTTTACTAGCTTTGAGGTCACTGATCCTTGCTGAGCCTGCTTTCTCTTGTGTTGAACGTGAATAGTAATTGCTACTAATACACAGAAGTGTCCCATAGCTATTTTTGTTATTATTTATGTATTTATAGTCAATATATATTAATGTGTGTGTGTGCGTGTGTATAAATGACCCAACAATCCAGTTGAAATTCACAACATCCAGGTGGGATGGAAGTGGATTAGGTAGACAGGTGTGACTAAAATTCTCTTATGGATACATCGAACTCTGGACTATGCAGGTTTTGTTAAAGATTGAATTCCAACAAGTGAGCAAAACCTGTGTCTTTCTATTTTGCAGCAAGTATTTATGAGTGCCTACTATGACCCTGGCTTTGGGCATAGGAAGGTAGGAGCTTATAGATGGTTCTGGATATGAGAAAACACTACTTCATAAAGAACTCAGGTGTCCAGGCAAGTGTGAGGGAATGGAGATTTTTTTTTTTTTTTTTAAGATGAGAAGCAGGAAGGGATCAAGACAGGCCCGTTGCTCAGGAGGTGGAACCACTGCAAACAGGAGCTCATCTAGGAGACATAGGAGAGGATAAGGACCAGGATTTCAGTTTCAGACAGAAGAAGAAGGGAAGTTGGGCCTGTGGTGGGCCTGATGGTTAGGAAGTGCACAATGCATGTTGGTTGAACAAAGGGAAATTATAGATGGCTAGGTAAACCCCTTAGTAATATTCAGCGAAACTTGACCCTGAGGTTTGAACAGGGAAGCTGAGTAGTAGAAAAGAATTCAGGCTTGGAAGTCAAAGTTCTGGGTCCAAATCCTGCCTTTGGTCCTACTGAATATATGTCTTTGGGTGAGGCACGTAACCTCTCTGAGCCTCAGTTTCCTCATGCACAAGCTTATAGCTCAAAATGTTGTCCGTAAAGAGCCTGGCATCAAGTAAGCACCTAAAAGGAAGTTGTTAGTGATGGTGGTCACTGAGCCCTGCACTGAGATGCACCTTCATTTCCTTCAGCAGCACTCAAAACTGAAAATTCCAAGAGCCTTTGGAGGAAGCTTTCTACAATTTCCTGGTGGGAAATGGGAGAGAGAAGAGGCTGGGCTCTTTGCATTATTTATGCTATAGATTCTGTAGGAATCTATGTCTATCTATACTATAGGTTCTATAGAAAAACTGTCTTTTCCAGTTCCCATTTGATTTTTTTAATTGAAATGTAATTCATATACCATAAAACTCACCCTTTTGAAAGTATACAATTCAGTGGTTTTTGGTATATTCATAGGGTTGTGCAACCACCACTGTTATCTAATTCCAGATCCATTAGATTTTTAATATATTCTTTATTGTTGTTAGTAAGGTAATCATCTTTATTATATAAAAAAAAACTTAACCGTGTGAAAGTATATACACCAAAAAGCAAATGTTCTACAAAAATGAGTAGTTTATACAAATGGTTGGCATCAGACCCTTAACCTTGTCCATCTGAGAAGCCTCTGATGACACAGATGCTAGGAGTACAGTGGGACAGCTGTCAGCTAGCCTCAGCACCAACATTCCCACGATGGTACTGAGACTTGCAGGATCCCTTTGCCGTGGGAATGGTAACCACCCTTCCCTGGTTGGGGATGCTGGTTGTCAGCTCACCCACCAACCTTTGGGGAACCTTTCTGACTGCAGCCTACCCATCCTGTGGCCCTCCACCTCCTCTGCTGCTGCATCTGTACCTGAGTGTCTGGACCTGCCCTGCCTGTCCCTCCTTCCCAGTCCCCCTCCTGCTGCCTGACATGGTAAGGGGTAACAGCCTGCTTCCCTTGCTCTAGTTTCTGACCTACCTCTGTGGGACATAGCTGGCTCTGACCCTTGCTTATATGACCCAGCCTTGGACTGCTTTTCCATTTCTTGTGACGCATTCTGTATGTAATTCCTAATTCCTCCTTGACTTGGACCCTGTCTTGAACCCAACACTTAGAAAACTCTGGAACTTCTAAGGCACAGTGTAGTGGTCTCTGCAACAAAGACATTTTAGATATGTTCCTGGTCACCAGTAGAGCAGGAGCCACAGACTGTGAAATGCCATTTTCGCAGAAGCTTCAGCATTGGAAGAAGTTACTTCATGGCAGGGCTTTTGGGATAAGTGTCCCTGCCTCTCTCTGTTATTGGCCCAAGTGAGAATACATGAAGCACCAGCACAGTGCTAGGTTCAGAATAATCTCTCAACAAATGTGGGTTTGTCTTCCTCTAGAACATCTGAAGGTAATTGCATGCTATGCATCTTGACATGTGAAGTATCTTAGTCCTGAAAGACAAAAAGAGAAAATCTTTTCCTCTTATTACCAGTGGCATTTTCAACTTTTACACTCTTTTTTTAGGGGGTAGGGGGTTACTTTCTCTTCATTTATTTATCCATAAGCCTCTTTCTCTTCTCATTTTTTGTACCTCATTCATTCCTGCATTTCTCCGAGGATCTCATGGGCTGCTGGTGGCTCACAGCCTGAGACTTCCGTTTTTCAGCTGGCTCTGGCTGTTATGGTTCTCAGTGAATTCTCTAGGGCAATGGAGAGCCCTGTCTCCTGACCTTTCCTCTGTGATTAACTTCTCCTGCTGCAGTGGTCTCAGCCGTGGAGCCCTTCCTGATGTTTTCCAAGTCTGTCTCCTTCCGGTAGACCGAGGAGGCACAAAAGGGCGGACTACTACAGGCTTTGATGTTGACCTTTCCAGATTTTCATCCAGGCTTTATCTTTGTAACTCATGTGTTCATTTCAGTTGGGTTCGGTGGCTTGGAGCTCTAGAAGGCCTCTCCCCCAACCCCCAGGTTACCCCAGGAAGCCACAGGGCCACACTCAGAAGGGCATTGTCCTCCCTCTCCCCCTTTCACCCATGAGTGCCAGTGATGTACATGTGTCTCGTATTAGCAAACCATCTCCGGTGCCCAGCACTGCACACGCCGAGCTCCTCCACTGTTGTAAGCCCTGTGTTCTGGCTGCCGAACCTGCAGATGGAAACTAGCCAGTCTCTGCCTCCTCTCCCTGTCTAGAATTGCTCCTGTCCTCCATGGGTCCTCATCCTCTGCTATTGCTCATAAATCAAGGAGGGCCAGTTGAAAACTAAGCAAGAAGTTGAGTACCTTTTCTCCTAAGACAATCTTGATTAACTCCTGGCATTCATACCCCTTCTACTTTTCAAGCCATATTTTCTGCCTCTCGCCAGCTGTGACCTTTGTTGAGTCACTTAACCTCTTTGAGCCGTAGGTTCCTCTGTAAATTATGGAGATCAGCCTTTCAAGACTGCTGCGAGGATGAAATGAGGTCACCGTAGGTCCGCCCCATAGCACCCTGTAAGTCTCCTCGCAGCCGTCTACCCATATACAGTAATATGCTTATTTAAGGTCTGCTCTTAACTGTAAGCTCCAAATACGAAGGGACCAGAACTGTTTTTTCTCTCCTCTCCACTCCAGCCAATGTGGTACCAGACACATAGTAATATCTGTTGATTGATCAGCATATGGAAAACACTGATCACATAGTGAGTGTACCATAAGATGTTATCTTTCTCTTTTTCTCTTGGTTGCTTTTTCAAAATTCAAGCTCCTGAATGACTCTAATTTTTCTCTGTGGACACCATGAATCATGTTTTGAGCCTGTTTCCCTCTTGGGCTTGGCAGCTGGAGTGCTCAGAGTCAAATTTGTGGCCATCCCAGCAGGTGTGCAAAACCTCACAGCACCCAACTGAAGTGCTGAGCTCACCCCTGCTTGTGATTTGTCCCTTTGCCCCTATTTATTTTCCTGCTTTTATTGCTGTATTGAACATATTCATATAAACAGCTTTAAATCCTGTTTAAAACAAAAAAGAGTATCCATTAATGCATTTAAGCTAGTAAGGCAAATGTAGTTTTATTCTGGCTATGAAGTGTTCACTTGCTGTTTTATTTTTCAGCTATAATTATCAAATAACCATTTCTTCTTTAGTGTAACATAATGGCTAAGAGAAGTTACTGTTAGGCAAGAGTACTATGGGACTTTGAAGTGGAAGGAGTTGGGCTGGAATCACCATTAATCACTGTGGCCGTGGGCAAGTTTCCGAGAATCTCTTTTTTAATCTGTAAAATGGGTGGTGTAGATTGGATTATTTGAGGATTAAATGAGATTGGGTCACTGAAGCCTCCTGCACAGCCCTTGGTATTTGGTGAGTGCTCAGTACGTAGCAGCTCCACTGTCTTTATTCTTTCTGCTCTGCGTTAGCAAACCATCATGGACTCTGTGAAACAGAGTTCGGCTCTCCTGTGACTGAGAGTCAAGAATAACCATACAAATTAGCATGTGCTTTATGCCAAATGGGCAACCCACACAAAAGCCTCTAAAAGGGAGATGAGCAACCACTGGGGTGATCTGAGTGATGGTGCTTGACGGGCAGAGCAGGTTCAGAACATGGCCAGGCCTGGGACTGGCACAGCTGCTGGCCGGCCCTCAGGGTGCAGGTCCTAGAAAACTTCCTAACCTCCTTCCACTCCTCCTTCCACCATCCTTGCAAATGCTGGATTCCTGGGAAACAATAAGCTTGTTTTATCTTAGCATAACAGACTTGGGTTCTAGTCTCAGTTCTGCCATTTACTAGCTGCGTGACCTGAATGAGTTGTTTAGCTTCCCAACCTTTGTTTCTTCACCTACAAAATGATGGTAAATAATAATACCTACCTCAGTGTTGTCGTGAGAATCCAAGAGAAAACTCCCTGTCGAGCCCTTAGCCTGGTGCTGGCTCACAGCAAAAGTGCAGTGAAGGCTGACTGCTCTCATTGGCTCCCTGTGCAGCACTGGCCATTAGATTAGCCTGTAGACCATCTATCTGGTCACTCTCAGTAAGACTCAAACTATGAGTATTTGTGTTCTCCAACAAGATGCGTCGTATGATTTTCATTTATGTTCTTTCTCCCATTCTTTTGTCCTTTAACCTCTCTAACAATGTCAGGCCTCATTATTTCAGAGCAGAATTTAAAACTCTAAGACAAGCAGTGTTTATGCTTTTGTTTCTTTTCAGAAAAGAAAAAAAAATGCAATAGCAAATGAATAAGACCTCTTTCAGAGTTTTCTTTTCCTTTAAAAATGGCAAACTGAGGAAAGGCTTGTGAGATCCCCTTTGCCTATCAGGGTATTTGGTTAGGAAGGTAACGCCTTTGGTGTGCCTCTAAGAGGTGAGGTGGATACTGTGATGTGTAAATTGTAATGCTGACTATGCATTTATATGGGGAAAAAAAAAGAAAAACAGTGGACCTTCCAAATCCCTGGGCTGCTCTAATCTAATTCCTTCTAGAGATCTAAGAGGTGTTACTTACCTGGGGGTGGGAACCTTTCTACTCCCACCCACTGCTCTCCTCTTCTCCCCTCCCCCTTTGTCTTGGGAAGCTGTATTTTGTATATTTGAGCAGCCAGTGTCCCTTTATTTCACCTGACTCTTTTCCAGTTAGTAACCACTTACCTCAGGGGAACATAATTAAGAGGGTTCTAGTTATCTGGGGGAAAGGAATTAAACAAATTGTGAAAGTGCAATAATAATGAACATGGACTACAGGGCCATTAATAAGTCTGCAGTATCCATATTCATTGCTAGGAATGAGCTCTCGCTGCAGGACATACCTGTAAGAGAAGCGCTCTGCATCACAGGCCCAGAATTTGTAAGAGGATTGGGTGGATAGACTCCTTGGCATACCAGCACTCCTTTCCTCTGGGCTGAAGTACTGGGTATGTGCTATGGGACAGCATGGACACATACCTTTCAGGTAAAGGTCATTATATTGTCAGTTCCCTGACACAAGCAGCAGAACCCCTTTCCTTTGCAGGAGAGCAGGAAGAAAGAATAGCTTTTATTCTTCCAGGATGTAATTGACGAAGTCAGCGCAATAATTCCCCAAGAACAAAGGCCCGGTACAGATATATCCTGTTCTGCTATTCAGAGATGTACAATGGCATCCCACAATCGCTGTCAGCCATAGGGCAGTTGTGACACAGTTGTCATGGCCTGCCTACACATGGACTTGGTCATAGCTGTTAATTTTCTCACCGCTTTAATTTAATTATGTGTGTTGTTGGTTCTGCCTATGTAGTGTCTGATTGCCGTTTAAAATGTCTTCAAAATTGCACTCAGATTCAACGTTGAAACGTGAAATCACTGTGAATACTGAAAGGGACCAGAGCAGAGAAGCATGGTGTTCATCTGCTGTTAGTGAAACAGGTGTTTGCATTCATATTTTCTTGAAAAGCAACAAACAAGTTCTTTTAGGACCTTATAAAGGAAGATAGGATCTGGTAGATGAAGTTTCATTACGTTTTGTTACTAGGAAACCCTTGATGTCAGGACACCTTGACATTGATGACTCTGAATCAGAAAATGATTCAGATGAGTCAGACTCTGAGTGTGAAGAAGCTTTTTAGGAATAGTGTAACCACTTAATTTTGCTGTATTTTTCTTTTAATATATGCCCAAGACTGATAAGTGGTTTTTAAAATGTGTCATTCTAAATGATAAGAAAGTAATGAATCATAGTTTTCTTGGTAGTTTTTATATTGTTGGTGGTATGTAAACTCGAGAGTAAAGATTGCCTTCTGAAGAAAGTGATAGGCAATCCTGCTGAACTCAGTACGTAGGCAGGTGACAGGATAGTGTGCGTGGATTCGGAGACCCATGTGTAGAGATGATGGACATCAAGCACTTCACACTCCTCATGGGGTCTCGACCATCCTCCTCAAGGGTTTACCAGATATCCATCAGAACCAGGGAAGGAACAAGAAACCATTCTTTGGGCGATAAGAGAATGATCCAGAGGTGCCAGCCATGCCAAGGGCTTGAAGAGAACCCATTTAGACATGATGACAGTCACTTACCGAGCCTCCCATGTGCTGCTCCTGTGCTAGGCGCTTCATAGGTTATCTCTAATCCTCGCAACAATCCTGGAAAATTTCTACTGGGGCAGTTACTGCCCTTTTAGAAAATACTTTACCAAGATATAACCAAAGATTTAAAAAGTCAGTCCTGCCCTTTGACTTAGTATTTCCATGTTTGGGAATTCATGCACATAAAGTTGTTTATTTTCATTATAATGTTACTCATACTGAAAAGTTAAAAGTGACTTAATGTCTAACTCTAGGAATAGGGTTCAGTAAATTATGCTGCCTCCATACTTGGTGGAATATTACGTAGTCTTTAAAATAATAATCACAAAGATTGTGTATAATATGGGAAATGTTAATGTAGCCAGTGAGAAAACAGTAAAATATATGCACTCTATAATTTCAAAGATATAAAAATGTTTTTTAATGTGGGCCACTATTAGAAGAATAATACAAAAGTAAAAGTACTTGTGTTAAGATGACGTGATCATGGGTGAGTGTTTTTCCCCCTAAAATTTCTCTTTACAATAAAAAGCCAAAGAAAAGAGGTTTCCACAGAAAATGAGTCAGTAGCTACAATAACTATTGAGGTATATTGAGAATAGAAATTGTTTTCAGAACACACCTAGAATTACCCAGTTAGGTATTTGCTACATTGAGATGTTAAAGAGACTCTGGGTTTCTTTTTTTTCCCTCTTCCCACTTGAATTTGTAATTAGTATATTTGCAGAGCAAAAATACAGTAGATTCAGGGAAGTATTTGAGGCTTTGTAAGCAAATGATGACAATGTAAAAGGTATTTGTCCAAATTTGCATTCATACAAAACATGGAGCTGCTGTGATTTCAGAATAAATGTGTTTTAAATATTTTCTAAATACAGAGCTGTTGCAGCCCTAACAATACTTGGCTAAGAAACTTCATTTCTATGATAGGCCATGATTACTCTTTGAAAAATTATTGGGCTTAAATACTGCCTACCTGGCAATAACTGAAGAGTGTGTCCCGCTTTGTCCCTTCTTGCATCTGCAGTCACTTCTGTAACACTCCTTTTTCCTCTCTTCCAAGGTATCACTGATTTTTATTGCAGAACAAAAGGGCATGGCATTAAAACCTACATATTCAAAATTCTACAAAATATTTCTTTTTCTGGTAAGAGCCTATGTTAAATTATACAGAGGCTTTTGCTGTGGGTATTTATTTTCACCTGTTTCTCACAGTTGTTTGAATGTCTTTTTCTGTACATTAATTGATTTGTTGGAACTTCAGTTCTGAAATTTGAATTAAAACTCAAGGTCATTGGTCAATTACATGATTGAATGTAGGAGCTGGAAAAGTTGATAAGATTTGGCTAAATATCATGGATTTGAATTTTTCTCCCTTCTATGTGTTAGGCTCTACTTCTGGACACATTAATAAGTGGCCATTTTTCTGGAATTTTGCACTCTTCCTGCTTCCTTTCATTGCATTAGGCTAGGTTCCACTAGATGAGACATTTGCAGTCAGAAGACTTCCTGCCAGGGTTCAGACTTTGTATTTTTGACATTGAAGCTGTCGTGTTCCTGAAGCTACTTAATTAGAAACACATTCATTTCAGTGTATACTGGAAAAAGCTTGGACAGCAGAGCCAGGCACACTGGGAAGTTTGAGCATTTGTGTAGCTGGCAGCTAAACTAATGGTTTACAGTTTAAGGGGAAAAAATATCATAGGGCATTTCCTTGCCCTAAGAAGCAAAGAAAAGTTGAATGTGCACAGCAGATACCTTTTTTTAAAAAGGAGAGAAGAAGAAGAAAGAAAAGACAACTCCACTTTCACTGCAGTTGTGTGTATAATTCTTTCTTGGCTATTATCAAATACAAAAGTCTTCCACAAGAATAGTTCCCAAACTGTGCTGCTAATATTCAAGTCTGTTTTACAGGCTCCCAAGATATAGTACTGCTGAGATTTGTAGTAAAAAGGACATTTCATATTCTGGGGAAGGATTTTTGCCTGAAGAATTTTATTTGTTGAATGGTAATGAGGGAATTGTGCCCTTTCTTATTTTTAAATGTTTGAGCAATTTTAAAATCCACATCTGATGTTTAAAAACCTTCCTTGCCTATCCATTGCTTTCAGGATAAAGCCTAAACTCCTTTGTTTGCAAACAAACCTTTCCTTTCTCTTTTCTTCCCACTCCTTGTTTCCCCATCCCTGTCCCCAAGAAAGCCATCCTTGTAGGTCCACTTCCACTCCCCCTTGCTGCCCCAGAGGAAAGGGTACCTGGTCATCTCAGTCTGAGCCAGGTGTCTTTTCTCTAGGCTCATGAAATTCCCTCTGCACCTTTCAGAGGAAGGTATCACATACTGGAGAGACATAGAGAAAACTTGCCAGTTGCTCTTTTCCTCCCTATTCCTTGACCTCCCTCCTCTACCCCCAAGAAAAATGTAGTATGGGAGGTAGGCCCCAAGGTTTTAGGTTTGGTCTTACAGGCTTTAGGTACGGTATTATTGTACTGACACTCTGGAAGTCAGTGTGGCACAGAGGAAGAATCTTTGGAGTCAAATCCTAGGTTTGCTACTTACTTGGTTTTGTGGCATTGGATAAGTGATTGAAGCCCTCTAGGCCTGTTTCCTCCTTGGTAAAATGGGGTAAACACCTACCTTGCATGGTGGTTGTGTGGATTAGGAAGGGTGAATTTGACGTTCCTCGTATAATGCCTAGCACATTTATCACTGGTAAGTAGCATCATAAGTGATGATGCGTGTTTGCACGTATACACATGCACACAGACTCCTGAAACCAAAGGAGATCAATCCACAATGCCCAGGTTTTAAAACCTTTGGAATTGGGTTCTCATCTCCTGCTGAGTTGCTAGCTTAGGAACTGAATGCTCTGTGAGTGAAGCAGTTGGAAGGGGCTTTATGAGTTGTAGTGTCATCTGGTGGTATGTGTGCACCTGGGGAGGAGATGCTTGCTGGCAGCTCTCCATGTACTTTGTCCAATCAGAATGGACAGTTTGATCACATGTCTTTGGTGGCAGAAGGAAACAGCAAATAAAAAATCATTCTTCTTTGACACACGTTTTGCCCTCCATTCAACCTTGTTAACTGTGTCTTCTGTTGTAATCATGGCAATAATAGTTCCCATTTGTACCTGGAACTGCACTAGTTTCTCAATGTATATTTTCTCTCATTCTGATAGCAACCTGCCAGTTCTCTTCCCAGATCCCATTTTAAAGATAAGGCAACTGAGGCTGTGCAGTTGCATAGCTGCTATTTAGGGACTAACGCCTAAACTGATGCTCTTCCTGTGCTGCCTGCATTTTGAAATTCTTCTGAAATTTCTAGGCTTGGGAACAAAATGTCATATTAGGATTTTTGTTGTGAAAGAAAATGTAACTGTGCATACGTTTATTAAAACAGTTTTTCTCCAAATAGTGAACCATCTGTAATTTTCTGCCGGAAGCAACAGACATTAAAGCAGCTGTGTGTCTCTGTTTCTCTTCACAGTGCTCCCATGCCCTACCTCATAGGAATCCATTTAAGTTTAATGGAGGTAAGTTGGCTCCTTTCCTCCCCAGATCTCTCTACTTGTGGTTTTGTTTTGCTACACAGTGGTGGAAAAGAGACGGTCTCTGGATTCCCAGCTCTACACATGGGAGCGTGTCGAAGAAACACCTCACGTGTGGTCCCCTCCCAGGTGCACAGAGCTGAGCATTCAACTTAGACCCTTTCCGCTGGGCTCTTATTTTCAGTGTTTTTCCACTTTGCTCGAAGTTGTCAGTTTTCATGGGTGAGGGAGTGAAGTTCGAAGGGGCAGGAGGAAAGAGTTCTTCAAAGATTTGAACAAGAGAAGGGAAATGATTTGCTTTTCAAAATGATGTTTATTCTAAATCATAACAATATCACATTTTTCATTGTAGAAAAAGCAGTGTAAAAAGTGTATAGAAGTGTAAAGAAGAAAATTAAAATTACCCACAATACCATTATTCTAAATTCAACCTCTGTTAGCATTTTACTATTCTTCCTCCTCTTTATTCTATGAATATATATTTTGTATAAATGTGCATAGTTGATATGTGTTATATATATATTTTTATGTTTTTATATGTCAATATTGTGGCATGGGGATTTCTACACATTTTTATTCACTCTCAGTAATAATAATTTTTAATTTGCTACCTGTCATTCCACTGTTTGGATATACCACAACTTAGCCGTTTTTCTGTTATTGTTGGACACTTATGTTGTTTATAATTTTTCGCTATTATAAATAGCATTTCAGTGAACATCTTTATGCATAAGGCTTTATCTGCATCTTGACTTATTTCTTTAGCGTAGAACCCCTAAAGTAGAAATGCTTGGTCAAAGCGATGAATCTGATGCCAGATTGCTTTCTGCATGGCTGTACCAATTAGATAGCAATTCTTATAAAGGATTTTTCTGTGCTTTTGTAAGTGCCACTGATTTGTAGACATGAACCCTAAGATTTTTCCTCCTTAGGAGAGAGCTTAAATTTGTACCAGAGCAAAATGGGGTGTGAGGTGGGGGCTTGCCTCTTTTGCACAGGAGATAAGCTCTCAGAGGGAAAATCTACAGCTATGTCCGTCTGTGATGATGCTTTGCATGTCTTAAAGGAAGTGCTACTTCTCTTCTTCTGTTCCCTTCATTTCACGTCGACGAGGACCACCTGCTTCTTCACTAACTGTTGCACACTCTGCTATTGTGCTTACGAAAATGAAACAAGTTGGTTATCGAAAAACCTGTTTGTTTGACATTGAGAATCTTGATCAAAATAGACCACAGAAATCTGCTCAAATTTCTAATTTGACAGGACGGCCATGTGGCTCCTACATTCTGTTAACAGTTCCTCCTTGTCATCACCCAGCCCTGAGCACATACAGTACACAGTTTATGGACTATCTTGGATGGTGTATTTAGATCAGATTGAAGAGATTTCTTCTCTGTTTTACCTTTGTTTGTCAAGTTTGGAAGTGTATTCAAAGCTCCTGTGTGAAAATTAAAATTGAATACTTTCTAATAGCCCTTTAGTGCCAATTGTTGTAGAGTTCGAAACACTGTAATCTAAAGACCATTTAGAGTCCACAGCTCATTCCTGCCTTCCAGACTACTCCAACACAGGCTTTTTCAGACTCCTTTTCATGTCCCTTTACCTTTGGCATTGTCCAAGTTTCTAGTCTTGGCTTGCTTTTCTTCTCTACATGCCCTCTGATCATCTTAAGGCTTTTTGCTTCAGCTACCGAGGCAATGTCCATGACTCCAGCTGGGATTCTAACATGGGCATGCCTCTCTCTGAACTTCAGCCAGGTCCAAAGTTTCACGTGCCAATTGAACTTCACCTAAATGTACTACAGATGTTTCAAACTCAGTCATCCCCAAACAATTTATTATCTACACACACATGCACATGCGCACACACACCGAGCTACTCCACTCCCCTTCCAGTGCTCCCAGTCCCTGTGAATGGCACCATTGCCTGTATGGGCACCAACGTGAAACACACGGAGCGTGGCTGAGTGCTTCTCTTCCTCCTTCTTCCTCTCTACAGAGTCACCAAGTCTCTGATATGTCTCTCACCCTGTTCCTTCCTCACTGCCTTCATTGACATTTTCTTTGCTTTCTTGGATTCCTGCAAAGCCTTATTCATTCATTTGATAAGCAAAATGAAGAACTCTTATGTTTCAAACATTTTGCTAGATCCTGAAGATGTGCAGATGAGTATAAAATCCAGTCCGTAGTCCTGGCATTTAGTGGGTTGCCGTCTGCCAGCTCACTCCCCCTGCAGTAGCCCACCTTCCAGTCTTCCTCTGCACTTCCCCTGAGTTCTGCTCTGTCTCTCCGCTGCTGTCAAGCCTGCAGCCTCTCGCTGTCCCTTGTTAGCCAGTGCTCTTGCTGCTCCCTAGACATACCCACATTCCCACCGTCTGCGTCGCTGAGCCCTGCCCTTCTCCAGCTCTTCCAAGGAGTCCTCCCATTTTGTTGTCATCTTTCACTTACTGTACCTCTTGCTCTGGATGATAGCTGTTTGCTTCCCTGTCCCTCTCCCTCATCCCTTGGAGCATGAGTTCTTTGGGAGCAAGGATTGTGCTTCATTTACTGTGGTGTCCTCAGCACCTAGCAGGGCACCAAGCAGGTGCTTTCTGAAAAGAAGGATTGAAGAGCGCTTGGAGGGCTGGAATTCAGAACACATTTAGAGCCCTCCAGTCGGCATCACTGTTTTCAGAGAAGCCAGCACCATAATTTTACTTAAAGATGGAGTAATATTTTTTACTTTTTATATGATTGTAAGTAATTTAAAACAAGGCCTTTTGTTAGTAAAACATACAATCCAAAATACATGTACATTTTGAATGTAAAACTTGATACGGCTTTGCACTTAGGTGAATGGGGCAAGTCCCTTCTGCTCAGCCTTTGAAGGGCTTTAAGTGAGAAGGTTCGGGAAGCACTGGCCAAGGTAAATCTTAGCCCTGTTGATTGACTAAAGTTGGGGAGGGGCCTGCCATGCTGAACTCCTGTGTGGTCAGCACTGAAAAAAAACAAAAAGAGTAGTCACCCCGTTCTTGAAGCCAGCTAAGACACTGTGCGAATAAAGTAGCATTTCCTGGAAGTATTGGGCAGCCATGAACTCTCAGATGTTGAAATTTAGTCTCCTAGTCTCCTCCCAAGGATTTCAGCTGCGACTCAGAGTGCTCTAGTCATGCCTTTTGATTGGGTTTGTCTGGTTCTGTTATACCCATCAGAGGAGGGAGACTCTTCCCCTGAGATTTCCCAGGAACTATGGGCTGGAGTGCTTGGAGAGGAGCTCATACCTGGGTCCAAAGGAAAGCTCTTCAAGGAAGGAGCTCAGGAAGGCCCATCTCCTCTTGCATACTAGTTTTCTTACTGGCAACTCAGCAAAAGGCTTATTTTTGACTGTCTTGTTATTTTTTCTTGAAAGCTATAGGCACCTTATTATGCCTTTGCATATGTGCCAGAATTTTTTAAACTTCAAATGAATGTGGCAGATGTTCATAAAAGTTTAGAAAAAGCTACCATAGGAAGACTTTTTAACCATTTTTATGACACTCAAATTTGTTACACAAAAAGAAATACAAATTATAACCTAGTATTCTCATTTGAAAAAAGATTATTTTGGGGAAAGACCTAATTCTAGTCTTCATGCTCTTACAGGGTGCCCTTGCTATTTGTTAAATGGTACCCTAGTCACCTTAAAGAGTCCTCCTTCTTTCTGAAGTGACAAGTTTATAGCTCATTGTCATTCTTATCCCTCTTTATGCCTTTTTATATTCTTTCTCTCATTTAAGCAAACATTAATTTGAGTCCACTGGTAAGTTAGCAGGTAGCCAAGGGTATTGGCATAGACTTACTTTCTTCTTGGAGAGAAAGAGAATGATCATGTTAGCTGGCAGCTAGGAAATACCAAAACGTGGCCAGATTACACAGTGACTGTTTCCTTTTATTCTCTCAACCTCAGTTTAGTTCAGGAGACATGTCTGCATCCTCTCTTCTGTGCCATATCTGGTAGCAGGTGCTAGGTCACGTCTAGTAGCTGATGCTTCTCCAATTGATAAATGAAGACCTTCTTTCCCAAGCTTCACAAACAGTGCTTTGTGTACAGGACTCAGAGTGACATCAGGGATGTATGCAGAAGGCACTTTATATAATTCCTGGTAGAGAATGGTCAGGAAGGAGGAAGGAAAGGCAATAGCAGTGACACAGATTCAGACAGTGGCTCAGGTTAGCCTGTAAATGAAGCTCTGCCTACATAGTGGCAGTGACGTGCAGGGGTTAGAATGTGGCTCTGCATTCTGGCTCCTCTACCTCCTGCTTATTTGATCTTGGGTGAGGTAACTGACCCCTCAGCCTCTGTTTTCTCACCTGTAAAATGAGGGCAATGGCCATACCTCCCTTATAGGATTGTTGGGGGATCCAGTGAGATAATGCTTATCAGCTGCCTAGCTTAGTGCTTGGCACAGAAAGAGCTCAACAAAGGTCAGCAACCATTGCTGTTCTCATTTCCTCGATGGCCTTAAATCTATTTACATTGTTAAGTTGATGGCTTTGAAATTGTGTTTTAGGAACTCTTAGGTTCCAAGGGTCATCACCCTCATTCCCTAGGGAAAGAGAGTTTCAACAAAATTGATGTGTGCCTGCCCTGTTTGCTCCTGGTTTGCAGTGCAGGGGGCACTGCATCAGGGATGGGAATGGCACTTTTGTAGATATGATGAATGTGCTCTCAGTCTCCTGCCCCACCGCTTCCCTGCTGTGGTAATTTCAGGCCTGATAGTTTGTCTCTCTGTACCTTACTCTCTTCATCTGTAAGAGCAGTTAGTACTCATCTCTCAGGACTGTGGTGAAGGTTAAATAAATGAGTCTTGTCTGTGTCCAGCATATCCCAGTGTCTGCAATGGGGTAGGTGTGCAGTGTACATCGCCTTCTATAGTAACGTTTTGAGAGGCTTCTGTGTACCAGGCACTGCATTG